TAGTAGCTTGTTGATTGGTTGCAGTTGCAGCACACACACAGGATCATGCATACATGATGGCTAAGCAAGCCGGCTAGGTTCATGCATCCTCGGCAACAGTTTCCCTTTCCGACTGCACGACACAGTATCCGGAGCGTGTTTGTGCTTGCCGGAACCAAATCCACGGTCGAAAACAACGTCGCGCGGAAGCGAAGAAGAAGAGGAGGAGAAGGAAAAGGCGGTGAGAACCCTGAACCCAATGATGGAGCAATAAGAAACTAATCAAAGCAAAGGGGACGCTTGGGCCGATCGATGAGACGGAACGCAAGATGCCAGCTTTGTTGGAAAGCGAGGTTTTGGTAGGATCGGAGTAGGACGGCTGTTGCTCGCGCGCGCGCGTGATACCGAGGGCCCGAGGTCGACCCGGCGCTGCCTGTGCCCACCACCACCAGTCCTCGGTCTTCGGCGCGCGCCGGGCGCTGGCCAGGAGCGGTGCACCTGACCTCACCTCTTTCTCACTGGATCGCCCGGAGTCCACACCAAATCTCGGTGCCGTGGTCGCTAGGTCGACCTCCCATCGCGCGACACGTGCCCCGCCGCCAACGCTTCGACGCCGGCGATCGATCGGTCTGATGGTCGGCGAAGACAACGAGACCCGACCTTTCCCAGCTTTCTCACTGATGGGAACGTCTCCCGCGAGACGCGAATCCAATGTACTGTGGTAGATTGATCGGATCGGACGCAGGGTGGAAGGTTCCATTCAGAGCACGCGTTTTCTTCCCCCCCTAGCCTAGTAGCCTGTGTGTGTTTCTCGATCGTCTAAGGCACGTAACATATGGGCAGAGACCAGGCAAGGCCAGCAGCAGAGTGACGACCAAGCGTTGCTGCATGCGGACTGTGGTTGCCGACAGGCAGGGTGTGGGCCGCCCAAAAGATTTCTCCGCCCCCCCTCTGTGAAATCCAGGAGAGTTCAGTGAAGATACCAGCAGACCGACGATTCGTCCGTCGCCGACCCGGGCGGTCTTGTGCGGGGGAGGGGACTGAACTGGGCACGTCGGTCTCGACAGGTCAATTTGTCGAACGGGACCGGGTGGTCCGGCCGGCCGGCAGACCGCGGGGCGAATTCTCCGCACATGGCTGCGGATGGGGCGCATGTAGAAAGATTTGGATCCTTGTGGTAGATCGATTGGCTCGCGCTTACACCCCCGGTCTTTTCGCGGCATTATCACGGTTGTTTCATGCACGACGCGCATTGGGCCCGGCCGGCCCCCTCCTCCTCCGCGGATATGCCAACGTTCCCTATTTTTTACCTGTACTTGCATGTGCCGCCTCGTCCAGGATTTCCAGATCGACTGACGTGCAGTGCGTGCGCTTAGGGTCTAAACAACCGTGATTGGAATCCTGATTCCTGAACCTGTGTACTTCGCTTGAACAGTACGAAGCGATCGATATGCATTGTTGTACGGTGGATGTCTATCCAGACGTCACTCCTTCATTCTTGATTTGACGGCCGTGATCAATCCATGGTTGACATAGCAGCACCGGAATTTAGTTTCAAACGAAAGAGCATTGTGGAGTACTCCAGGTCGTTAAATATGCCACTTCAGCCTAAATCTCCTAATCAGCATTAACGTGATCAATGTGACAAATTGACATAGCAGCACCGACCGCCACAGTTTCAAACGAAAGAGCATTGTTTAGATACCACCAAAGGTCGTTAAATATGCCACTCTCCATCCTATTTTTCGTTTGCATGGAGTATTAAATGTAGGTAAAAATTAACATGCCTATACAGTTTAGTTGACGAGAAATCGACAGTTAGGATTTGGACCACCATTGGTTTGAAATTTTTTGCTAATTAGGGTGACTGCTCTGACATCGAATGCCATACAACAAGATGTCACACACGTCAACTTTGGAAGCGCTAGTCTGCAATTAATATCTTGCCCTCTTGCATTGGACATTGGTGGCGACGAAGATGGTGACTGCACCTGGAGGTCGTAAGAAATTTAACATATATAAGCGAGAGTAACATGAGCCTCGATCGTGATAACGAAAAAGAAAGTAACGTGATGAGCTTTTCTATCAATAGTACCATGAGAATTAAAGCTATCAAGCACAATCCGCCATTTTCTTTTGGGAAACATTGCCCGTCTTTTACTCCATCCCTTCTGAAATATAAGAAATCGAGAGTTCAAAATCTGTACCAAAATATAAGCTATTCTAGATGAACACACACTCTAAAAGGCAATATTCACATGTACACTTACCATTAATGTCTATCACTAACCCAAATATGGCAATCAGGTAGGGTCATATGTGTCATTTGCTTTACCACATAATATGTCCTACAATTACTTGGATACCTTATATCTCAAGATGGAGGAATAACATAACAAGAGGGTTTATGTGGCGAGGCTGGCATTTTTTTGGGGGGGAGGAGGGGGGCGACATACATGAGTCAACTACTCAAGGACTTTGATCGACAAGGATACCAAGATGTTTGCCTCTCGCCTGGAATTCAAGGTGGTTTTTTTCTCACTTACTATTGCAAAAACATTTAAAAAAACATTTTCCAACTGCCTTTCCATAGGTGGCTCAATTTGCCAAACTCCTTGTGCAGTTGCAGTGGTTTTGGATTGTACAGGAAGAACAAAGAACAGAGAGGATGAGGAGGAGAGTTTGGGTCTTTGAGTGCCCCCTGCTATATAGAGCGTGGGTTGATTTTATAATTAACGGAAGGCTTTTCTTCAAAATATGTGATGCCACGCATCCGTGGGCGGTGGAGCCACGGATGTGTCTAGTTCTCTAGTGTGAGGATGAGCTAGCAGTTTTAATAAACCCAATGCGTAAACGTGTTTTTATAGGCGGTTCTTTATGTAAAAGGAAACAACTTATAGAAGCGGTTCATGTAAGGAACACGTGGAAATGTTTTAAACAAACAACCGGTTCCATATGTAAGCTGCACAAAATCATTCCATGTTCTCTGATTTTTTTTAAGTTTCTTTAGTAAAAATAGAATGTATACTATTTGTGGCATCTTACACTTATATATGCTTCGATGAAGTTATTTGAATTAATGGTATAGATTCCAATGGCAAGTGGTCCATTGCTTAGTTTCTTTTCTTTTTTTTTTGAGAGAGACATTGCTTTAGTTTCTTTTGGTCATAATGTTGGTTGGTAAAAATGTTGTCGGTCATATCCTTGAATATTTTGTAAACTAATAAAGGTTTTTGTTCTCTAAAAAACGGTTAGGAGGTCCGAATATGCATTCTAAGATTTCATGAATCTACATGCAGGGGTGGAGACAAGACCGATCTTTGTCTGGGGGGGGGCAGACAACTATTTTCTCTTCTAGGGCTAAATGGAAACCCTCCATGAAGAATTAAATGGGTTATATTCAAATAATATCTCCATGGATTTCCTAGCCTAGAAAAAGTCAGGGATCCCAAGGGAATTTGGGTTTCCAAAGTAAGCCCTAGTGTGCACTGCTCTAGTTGCTCGGCACTAGTGCATCTTATACGTAGAACTAAGCCATGCTATTCGTGTATCCTTGAATAAATTAATTTTTAGAGTAGTCTTAAATCAAGCTTTTTTTAGTTTGACGGAGTTTATAGAAAAAAACACCAAGATTTATGAAACCAAACTAGTATCATTAGATACACCATAAAATATATTTTTATAATATACTCATATTGTATCAATTCAATCAAACATAAAAAAAAGTTTTACTTATAAGACGATAGATATAGGAATTAATTTATTCAGTGATATTGACAGTGTAGTTAGCACCCTCCTTGTTTGTACTATGCATGGCTCTGCCCTTTTCTACGCGATGCGTGGTGATACGTTTTACTTCAACCGCAAAAACTTGACTTCATGAGCTTCAGATCCGAAATGTGAATCCAAGTCCAAGCGACACACACCTGTTGTGTATGACCTACCAGTACCAGGTACTCTCGTGCGGGACGCGACGGAACGGATAGGATACGGGCAGCTGGGCAGGCCGCAGTCAGTCAGACACCAACAACTGCCGAGGCATTAACATCAGCCTGACACCGGCACATGGCAATGGCCGGCACCAGAAACGGTCGCGCACCGGAATTGGCTCGCCGTCGGAAAGCGAGGCCCAGTTCGCCCCACTTCGGGGCGGCGGGCGCTCGTCGTCGTCCCCACGGCCGGCCAGCTCGCCCGGGCGCGGCTGTGCGCGCACAGCGCCGGGTCCTGTGCGCCAGCGTACGAGATGACGAGGAAAGGGCAAGGCGGGGGCGCGGCCGCGCGCGCCGAGGCGCCGCCAGGTTTCTCGTTTCGTGCGTGCGAATCATGCAGCGCCAATAGTCTTCTGCTCCTTGCCAAGCAAACGCGCCCTGTGCGCGGAAAGTTGGATAGCTCGTGTCCTCGATCTCGATCTCTCTTCTTCCCCGTCCAGCTGACCAGTGAATATGATAGGGCTTTCCTGCGTAAAATCTTTGGTTGGCCTTGTTTCACTTTCACTTTCCTCCTTTAACAGCTGCATGTTAAAAACTTGGCAGAGAGCATTCATATTATACAGTAAATATTCGACGACGAAGAAACGGGAGAGAGCTAGGTTAACGATGGACGAAGGGAAAAATCTGGCAACAAATAAATAAATGGAAACACGTTCATAACATGATATGCGTACAATGACTTCTCAAAAAAAAATGCGTGCAATGTACAAGCTACATGTGTGCATGAGCTGCGAGTCTAATCGCAAGCATACAACGGCAGTAAAACACCATTTCTAGGCTAGGTACTACTAGTAGTAAAAAATGGAAGGCGTCTAGCCAAGTGCATCTTAATTTACACATATGATCGTGCAAGTAGCAGTGTTGCCGACGCGCGCGCGTTATGTCGTAGTACGTACGTACGTGCAGTTGCAGAGCTCCAGGTCCAACGGCGGCGATTAATGATCACAACATGGCCATGCATGCCGGACGACCGTCATCAGCTAGAGGGTGCATGGTGCAGTGGCAGCGAGAGAGGGCGATCGATCGATCGATCTACCACTGGCCTCCGTTCATGCGGCCGGAGTAGGGCGCAGCACCGCCGCCACCGTTGGCCACGGCGGCGCGCTCGAGGGACTGCACCTGCGTCTTGAGGAACTTGACGTAGTGGATGGCCTCGTCCAGCATGGACGCGGTGTCCATCTTGGTGCCGCCCGGGACGAGCCGCTGCAGGATGCGGATGCGCTCGCTGATGCGCTCCCGCCGCATCCGCGCCGCCACGCTCTGCGGGTCGGTGGAGATGCGCACGTTGCGCCGCTTCGGGGGGCGAACCATCTCCGGGTCGATGTTCACGGGCTGCAGCGCCGCCACGCGGAAGATCATCTCCCGCATCGCCGACGACCCGACGGCGGTGGCGGTGCTGCCGCTCTCCCCGCTGTTGCAGTTGCCGTTGCCCCCACCGCCGGCATGGTGGTCCTGCGCATGCGTCGTCACGTACTCCGACGACCGGGCGCTGCCGCTGAACGACGACGCAGCTGTGACGACCTGGGAGTACTGGTGGTCGTTGTAGACGCCGCCACGGCCGTTGGCACCCGCAGACGACATGTGATGAGGCACCGAAGAGAAATGGTGGTGAGTAGCTGCTTGCTGCATGCCCGGCGACGGGGGAGTCGAAGGCACCATCATCATGGCGCCGCCGTGGTCGGGGAGAGGGAACGCGGTGAGCTGCTCCAGCTGGAGCATTGCGTTCATCAGCTCCAGCTGCGCCTCCGGGTGGGAATTCAGCATGTCGAAGTCCATTCGATCAGGGCCTTGATCGGAGCTCTACCGGATGACAAGCTTGTTCTTTACGAATGTGTAGGGGTCGGTCAGTCAAGAGGAACTGGAGAAAGAGGGTGCAGAGCTAGCAGCTAGCAAGCCTGTTGTCCTCTCTGGACTCTGGTGGTTTATCTAAGATTGTGCGGTTACCATGTTGCTAAAGGTAAGGTGCTATTTATAAGGGATTGCAGGTAGCCAAGGACTAAGGTGGCCTCCTCTCTGGAATTGACAGGCCACAGTGTTTGTGTTTCCTCTGCATCAGCCTTTTTATTTTCTTTTCCTATTTTATTATTGGGGAGTCTTGTTGCTCTTTTCTCTCTGGCTTCATCACAAATTAAGTAGTAGCATGATGTGTTAAAGATAAACTATCCCTATCTTTTGTTTTCCCGAAAATGATGTATCAAGATAATGTCTCACGCAGAGACACGGAATCTGCCCTCTGACATCTCAAGACCTTTCAAGAATTTGCCGACTGTCTAGCTAGTGTCTCTAACCCAAATATCTCCATGAAGGGTTCTTTTGTTGGGATATACGATGTGATTGAACCAAACATTTTTGTTTTCTTATTAAGTATATATATATCGTCCTCACTTTCTTGACTTAGCAATCATGTTCTCGACAGAGTTGTATATTTCACTGTATCGTATATCTCTACCGAATACCGATTGCACGTACAACACGGTCCAAGCGTCCATATCCACTGCTCTCTCTCAAGCCAAAAATGATTAAAGCAATGTTTGTTGTGCGCTGTAAACCAAATTACGTTTTTGTAGTGTGCCACAGACAAAATTGACAAGTACAGTTTCTCTGCAGTACTCCTTATCAAAAGACTGACGAACGTCTGATGAGGCACAAGAGATTAATTAACCAGCTGGTATATATTCCATTTCGTACGGTCATTCATCGACCAACAGGTGTCAGATTCGGATGAACGGATCCTTAATACGTCGTCGTTCTAATGCGACCTGCATTATTGGCACTCCCTGCACCTCGTTAACCTGTTCGCTTGATCGTTTCTGTGGCTTATAAACCACCTGATGTTGTTTTGATGTGAGAGAAAAACACTGTATCATGGCTGATAAGCATGGCTAATACGATCAAGCGAACAGGGTGATTAATCAGAAATTTTAACTACATCTTCGAGAAGCTAGCTAGCTAAGTACTCCCTCCATCCCTTTTTGTTGGTCACTCGGGAACTGTGCTTGTGAGAGAAACACGCTTTCCCAGCCGCCAGTTAATAAGACTGTCTCCAACGAAGTACCCAAACCGTGACCCATCCACATTTTACGTCATGCACAGTACTTTTACGGGGGAAAATCGCTCTCCAACAGAGTAGCCAAACGCAGCAGGCATTTTGCGTCCGACGATACACGGTACCCAAACTTGCGTCCTCTCTCCTTCCCTTTGCGTCTCCTCCACGCAGGCGGGGCCCACCACCACGACCGGAGTAGCCCGCGCCGGGGCCGAGGTCCGCCCACGCCCGCGCTGGGGCCGAGCGCGCCGAGGTCCGCCCGCGCCGGGGCCGAGCTCGCCGGGGCCGCCAGGGCGGAGCTCGCCGCGCGCCGCCAGGCCCGAGGCCGCCGACTCCTCCTCCGTTGCCTTTGGGTTGGCTGTTGGAGAACGGAAGTTTTGGGTACGCTACCTTTGTACTGTGCATAACCTAAACCACGGTATGGGTATTCGTTTTGGGGCTGCACCGTTGGAGATAGCCTAAGGGACAGATGAGTAGGTCTCATCCCGATCTTTGCACGGTGCCATGCAAATGGTCCGTCGACGCCGCAGGTCGCAAACCTATAGCTGATATGCACGACTGATGCATGATAAAAAAAAAAGGGTGCTAGAATAGGGGTTTTCTAATGTTATATATACATGTCGTGATATCTGTTGCAGTAGCAAAGCTAAAATATATAAGAAGGGGATTTCGAATAAAAAAGAAGGGGAAAATTCAGTTCAATGTACGTACTTGGCGTACACTATGTCAGAAAAATGACCAACAGTAACAACGTTGAGCCATATGACCGGATTGACAACCTACAATAGATGCAACAAAAATGTCTATCATGCATATATACAGCCAAAGTACATTGGTCCACCTAACTGATACTCCCTCTAGTTCCATAGTTCCTATATGTATTGTTTTGATTTGAACAAGGTTGAGGAGGTTTTTTTAGAACTTTCACTATAGATAATTTTAAAAATTAATATTTCTTTGCAGACACTAAACATGCTTGTACAGGTTAGTCTTAAAAAGTAAACTGTTAAATAAGTGAAATTTTAGGGCGCTCGGTAATAATGAGAGCCATCAATTTAGTTAGATTTGATGGTTTAAAAACGGGAGGAACTAGATGAAAGGATCTTAAGTTGTGGGTCGGAACCAAAAAAAATATGTGGACCCGAAACTTGGTTTTAGTTAAATTTTGAGGGTATAACAGTATTTTGACCTAGAAGCGGCTTCTCTTAAGAAAGAAAAAAAAACTGCTTCTCTGAAACACCGATGAGCTTGTCAAAACCACTGGGCCGTCGAGAGAAACCGCCGCCGGACACGTCGGGTTGCCGGGCACTCGTTGTCAAGATGAAGTTGCCGATGGGCTGCCAAACGATAGTGCTGGTGCGGCCGTGCTTGATCTTCGTCGTGGGTCACGTATGCTCGAGATGGTGGCGTCGTTCTTGCCGTTCATGACGCACACGCGGCCGCCGGAGTTAGACATGGGGCCGTCGTTCATCACCGCGGCTGTGAACATCTTGCCGAACTCAGTTGTTCTGCTGCTTGAAGCCTTCATCACCGGGCTGCCACTGCTTGCTTGCCATGCCTTCTATCAGATGCCTTGCCATGCTTGCTGCCGCCTACCGGGCCGCTGTTGCCGCGCGCCCTTTTTTTGCGATCAAGGAGATTCATTCATTAAGGAGGAGCATGAGTACAATCTGAGGACAGCAGGTCCAACACATAAGCCGGAGCATAAGACCACCACCTAGCTCGTGTATGTTGGCCCACTGGATCACCGTCTGACGATAGTGAACTAGTTTCCGACCACTAGTCTCCCAGACCACTAGTCTCCCAGACCAGACCACTAGTCTCCCAGACCACTACTAGTCTCCCAGTCCAAACCACTAGTCTCCAGATCACTACTAGTCTCCTAGTCCAGACCACTAGTCTCCAGACCACTAGTCTCCCAGACCACTACACCGGTTCTGTCCGTACCCACACACTACGGATCGAGCTAGAAGAAGAAGGGAGAACAGAGCAAGCACGCACAATACAAGACAACAACGTTGGCCGAAGCCCTGTCTGTGTGATGGCAAATTTGAGCTCTCTTTACTGAGTTGCCATACATGTCTATTTATACAACTCTAACTATCTAGTCCATGTGCAGCGCCCATGCTGGCACAGTAACTAGATAACCTGACAGGACTGACTCTACGCCGGCCACTGCCTGTTCCTACAGTGCTGCAGGTGAGCCGTGCGGCGCCTGCACCTGCAGCGCCTACTGTATCACAGCAAGGGGCAAAGTCGGCGCCGCCTTCCCTTGTTGTGTTCACACACAGCAGGCGGCTAAGTCGGCGCCGCCTTCCTTTGTTGTGTTCACACAAGGTGGCAGTAGATTAGCTAACAATTTTCCCCTAATCCTACTGCTAACCCTTGTACCCCCTCCATGCCGATTATCTCCTTCAGCTCCGTGAGTCGAAGTCGTCCGAGCGGCTTGGTGAGGACGTCTGCGAGCTGCCGAGCAGTTTCGACGAACTCGATGACAATTTGCCCTCCATCAACACAGTCCTTAAGGAAGTGGAACTTTACGTCAATGTGTTTACTCCGGTCGTGCAGAACCGGATTCTTCACGAGGGCGATGGCGGGCTGGTTGTCCACCATCAGTGCTGGTGGGTGAGCTTCCACGCCGGTTAGCTCGCCCAGCAGCCGGCGTAGCCACACAACTTGGCACGCCGCTGTGGCCGCCGCTACGTACTCTGCCTCGCATGTAGATAGCGCCACCACCTTCTGTTTCAGCGACAGCCATGAAATTGGGGCCGACCCGAGGAAGATGAGTACGCCAGAGGTGCTCCATCGTCCGTCGATGTCCCCCGCCATGTCTGCATCGCTGAACACCGTGAGCTGCAACCTACTTCCCCCGGTCTTTGGGAAGATGATTCCATAATTCATCGTCCCCTTGACGTAGCGTAGTAGCCGCTTCACCGCAGCCCAGTGATCCTCTCTGAGATCCTCCATGAAGCGACTGACATAGCCCACGGCGAACGCAATGTCTGGCCTTGTGTGGACTAGGTAGCGCAGACCGTCGACGATGCTCCGGTAGAGTGTTGCATCTACTTTCGCCGCGGTGCTGTCCTTCGTCAACTTCAGCCGCTCCTCCATCGGAGTCATGCATGGCTTGCACTCCACCATGCCGCTCCTCTTCAACAGCTTGGAGGCATATGCGCTTTGCCCGAGCATGAGTTCCTCCTTCCCCTGTCTCACCTCGATGCCGAGGTAGTAGGAGAGAGCGCCGAGATCGCTCATTTGAAAACGAGCTGCCATCTCTCGCTTGAAGCTGTTGATATCCTCCGTGCGCGTGCCGGTGACGATTAAGTCATCCACATACACGCCGACCATGAGTTCTTCCTTCCCCCGTCGTCGCGTGTAGAGCGCGTGCTCGGTTGCGCACCTCTGAAACCCAAGCTCGCCCAGCGTGGTGTCAAGCTTGGCGTTCCATGCTCGAGGGGCTTGCTTCAGCCCGTAGAGCGCTTTGCGCAGTTGGAGCACCCTGTGCTCCTCTCCCTTGACAGTGAACCCTGGAGGTTGCCTGACAAAGACTGTTTCCGCCAGCTTGCCGTTGAGGAAGGCCGATTTAACGTCCAAGTGATGGACGCGCCAGTCCTTTGCTGCCGCCAAAGCAAGTAGCAAACGGACCGACTCCATGCGCGCTACTGGCGCAAAGACCTCCTCGAAGTCGATGCCCTCGCACTGGACAAAGCCTCGGGCGATGAGGCGCGCC